TTAGGTAAAGTTAGGGCATATAATTGCAATGCTGTGTGTGGTGGTTGAAAAGCATCTAAAACCTTCTTCGTACCTTTCAAGCTCTCTTTGTTTATTCTTCACACAATTATTTATGTCATTTTCCGTGTATACATTGTCTGACAGTGAGTGATTCATGGTGTCTGGCCCCTGTCTATACAGGAGGCTTTTGAAATATTCAGAACAGGTATAAACTCTTTGGCCTTCAGACATTTCATGCATTTCGTGGCCTTCTTAGGATTACCACATATCCATTAGTACAAATGTGTGCATGAGCCTGTTTAAATTCAAGTCTTATGTTGAGATAGGTTTAGATTAGAGAAGTTCGGGTTAGGGTCAGTAAGGATCTTCACGGGTAAGGGTCGGGTTATGCTGGAAAAGAAGTCATCTGCACGTGTTGTCCGACCGGGCCTGGAATCACTAGTGTTGCATTTATCTGTATCCGTCAGAAGTGATTCTTGTGATAACAAATGAGAGCCTGAGGAATGTGTTTAAACTAGGGATGCCATGGTGGAAATTTTCCCTCATAGTCCAAACTCATGATAACACTGATTACACAGGACATTCTAAAAGAAAATATATTCGCAATGATGTGCAATGTCTGTAGAGCGCTTTCTTTGATCTTTAATGTTAGATTTTTGGATTCTCTCCTTATTTTCGACGGAAGAGGAACGGTTGGTGTGGCAGCGTGTGCTTTTCTTTTTAATAACATGAAGTAATGACGTGATAACATTGTGGCTTGGGCTTGGCAGTGGCTTCCTCCTCTTTTTCATCTCCCTCTTTTTTCATGGCGTGCGCTCTTTGCCTAGGGATGACCACCTCTTCACCAACCACCTCTTGGTCCCCCAACATTCAGGTCTTAGATTCCACCGTAGTGCATGCCCATGACTACTGCCTTACGCATAAGACCCTGGCTTGCCTCTGGCAGAGCTCTGTGCTGTAACTCTGCTGCTTTCATCCTGCAATTGTAGCATCCATCATTAAAAAAGGTATTTTGCTTTGATGAAAGTGAGTGGGTGCATGAGTAAGTGACTGAGTAAGTGAGTGGGCCTTCCCTAAACCAGATCCGCCCCAGTATCACTCTAACAAGGAGTACCAGTTTATAGTCACCTTCACAGTTGAAGCCCCCCTCATTGAGGCGTGGGCTAGAAATACATCTTTGGGATGAACTTCCCTCTCCCCCACAGGAACAGGAACTGTTGTAACTTTTTGAAACCATGGAGAAAAATAAAACCATTTTATGCTCTTCCTATATTATAACCTGATTTTTGTATATTATCCCTTTGTCAATAAATAAATAAAGAAAGAAAACTTACATCAAAGCCTCTTTGGTGGCATTTCTTTTTTCTAAGCATCTCGTTTTTCACTCTGTTTTTAAGCTGCTTAGTTTTTGCAGCAGTTCCTGTAAATACACAACATTTTACAATTAAATCAGTTAAACCATTTTCTAGACTTGACTTGACTTGTAGAGGGTATATTAGATCTTAAACAAACTGTAACCTTTAATTTGATAGCGTCGTCTGTATGACAATATTAAATGTCTTTGTTAGGTTGAGCAGTTTACTTTTGTAAGGGTAGTTGCATGAAACTAACATTTGTGTGTCACATGGTCAATAATTTGGCATCCATGTAGACTTCCACTCCTCGCTACCTAGTTTGGGATGGCACCTATTGTAATGTGCCTAACTCTGCATGTGAATGCGGAAACAGAGTGGAAGTGGGTAGGGACAACCCAATCGCCAGAAGAAATGTTGGCCTTGTACATTTCAGTTAACTACAGATATGTTAGACTGCATTTGTGAACATGTAGAACGAGTAGCGCACATGTTGAAACTTTATGTTTCAACAAAGCTGTAGATATTGGTAGTTATGCTTAGGCATTAAAACGCTTCATTATGGTTAGGTAAAGATTACATTTTGGGTTAAAATACCCAGTTTAGGGGGCACAATCCCTGTAAATAAAGCAGCGATGTCTTGCTAAAAAAAATGCTTTTCATGCCATAATCCTGGTATGAAAAGCAGCTCTCTGTAAAAAAAAAACGCATTTTGTGCCCCATCACTACAGGACAGAGACAGTTATGTCTCAGTAAAAAAACAACTGCTTTTAGGGCCTGAAAAGCTGCTGCATGCACAGCAATGAGTAGGCTTGCAGCAGCACACCTTTTTGAAGGTATACCGTGATATTAATATTGACAGTTATCATACTATGTACATTTGCTTATCGATGATATTGGGGAAAAAAGCAACTGGACAGAGAATCTCAACTTTATTTTAGTTACGTTCAAAAGAAAGGCTTTTTACACATACCATAAAACTTCAGTTAAAAGCCTTGTTCCAATTAAATGCCCAGTCCTTTTTACTAGCTGGGTGTGGCTACACATTTTGACAAAAAACACCAGTCTTAATTAGACGCCTCGTCTTTTCGCCAAACAGTTCATTCTTTTTATAGAAGTTCATCGACTGTATAAAAATGGGTTGTTGGCTGCCTTAAATTATGTGTCCATTCCTTAATTACGCCGTAAGTTATTCATATTCCTTTAGTCCATAAGGCTCCACTGATGAAAAGAATGAAAAGGGTTTTTCATAAAAATTAATCCAAGCTGTGAGTACTGTATCAACAGGATGAAGTGGTGTTGTGCAGGTATATTGGGTGCAATAATCCTTGAGTGCCGTAACTCTCTCTCTCTCTGATGCGCTGTCTGTCGGAGCTAGATAAAGTTAAATTAAACCCTCTGTTTTCATTTCTTCAAGGGTCATTTTGACTTACAGTAATAATAATTCTGTAATACTGTGATACCATGAAAATGATATTTTCTGAGACGGTCATCATACCGTAAACTATCTCATTCCATTGCAACACCAGCAATAAGTGTCTAAATCAGTGCTGGTTTTGTTGTTTGTTGGTCTCGAACAGTGGTGTACAGAGACAGTTTACACACTATGTCACACAAGAGACTCTGATATGATACAAAAAAGTGTGTGTGAGTGAGTGAGTGAGTGAGTGAGTGAGTGAGTGAGTGAGTGAGTGAGAACAGAGACAGACAGAATGTATCGCTGGAGATGATGAATGTGACGATGACAGAAGCCTGCTGTCCTTCATGTACAAAACAGGATGAATGATATGTCGGTTCTTTACTGAGCTGAAACCTTTTCATTGCTTTGGAAACATAATCTGGACCCAAGACAGGTCATTAAGTGGATGATAAAGGCTCTGACTGATCGACAGTATGCCGCAGAGCAAAACATATGAAGCACGGTGGAGTGACAGAGTAAAATCTCCAGTTCTGTGATTTGTCTCTCGGAAATTGTTGGGTCTGAGCCAACACAGACAATGTACCTGATTCATCTGGATTTGAGTCGATTTTAATCCATACTATCAAGATCTTTTTTTCCTTTTACAGCTATGTCTTCCTAAACAGTCAATACAGTTGAGAAACCACAATGCCTGTTCATGCATTCATCTCTCCTCTCTACCCTGCACACCGAGCACCACCAATCTTTGTGTAAAAAGGCTCATTAGTGATGTTTTTGTCGATCTGCCTGTAAGGATGTCACGTTAAAAGCTGCCCTTATTTACAGCAGCATTCCAAGAGAGTACAGTATAATTACAGTGAAGAGGAAGGTTCATCAGATAGTACAGCACCACTTCTACAGTGCAGCTGCTGGAACTATTCATTAAAACCTCCTGAGAGAAAAAAACAGCTCTAAGGAACTTTAACAACAACAGAAAATGGGAGATCTATCATTTTCCTAAACTTGTTGCAAGGAAAATCCTCTCATTTGTTAAAAAAAAAAAGTTTTCTCACACAGCTTTTAAATAAGCAACTTTTGCAGGGACTTCACTGCTGAAATCATCTTTTTAACCAAGAACCCACTTTTTAGAATCTTTTTTGAATCCTTTTCTGAGAATAAAACAGGAGCCGAAGCAGCAGCATCCTCCTGTGCAGCTCTCCCACATCTCCACGGCAAGACCACAGTCTCTCCCCCTCCATCTCTCTCTCATGAGGAAACATCTAATGCTGGGAAAAAAGCTAAAATAAGAACACAACTTGTGGGATTCGCTGTCTTTTAAAACTTAAATCTCCAGAGGAAGCGAGTCCCCTTTTCAACAACAAGCCCCCGCGGTGGTCGGATCAGACACAGCCGACTGTTTTATTCACTGAATTCACAGAATAAACTACAGGAGCTACAGTCCTTCTTCCCAAACTGGAGAAACAGGTCGCAGCGCAGACCAGAACTGACCTTCAACTGCATGCTTTTATTTTGAAGAATAAGAAAGCTCTTGTAAAATGAATAAGGGCAGATTTCATGACTTTTTTTCTTTTGAAGGAATAGACTGGAGGTGGAAACAGTCAATTAATCCTTAGACAAGCTGTCTGATATTTGTTGAGGTAGCCTAATTTTTGAAGTTAAATTACCAACAGCTTGTCAAATTAATATAAATATTAGCTGCTTTCCTAGGAAGATCTTTGGCATTTGCATGTGTCTTCTTGGAGTTTAGGAAATTAACATTTTATACATTGCAGAATTTATTGATCAATCGAGAAAATAATGGACAGATCAATCAATAATGGAGAACAATCCCTTATCACAGCCCTAAAACAGTTATTTGAGTTTGGATTCTCTCGATTAATCAATAGAGATATTAAATATATTAACGTTTGGATTTATTCCAGTTTTATAAAAAGTAGCTACCCGTTATATTTGACTAGTTTCCATTCTGATATTATCTATTACATCAAGGAAAAGAAGAAGAAACAGTCTTTTACTTTCTTAATGAGCTGATTTATCCTTATGTGGATAGTTTAAAGTCTCATTAACAGCCACATGTCATCAACCAGCCAGCCTGCCCCCCTCAATGTAAGCCTGTGCCATAGCCGAGTGATGTCTTAGTGCTGTAATAAACCATGGTGCCCCCTCTCATTAAAACATTGCACTCAACAGCCCGCTCTCCTCCCCAAGAAGCGCACGGAGCCGCTCACCTTCTCCACCTGTCCCACAGGAGCCGAGCAGCAGCGAGGCGATCAGTGCAGTAATCCAAGCGAGTCTTTTACTCCCCAAAGGCATGTTGAAGCGACGGGATGCTGCAGAGTAGCCTATAATCCCAGCAGTCGGAGAGGAGACAGACTGTCCGTCCTCCTCTTCTCCTCTCCTGTTCGCTTCTCTCCTCTGCTCTCCTCCAGCTCCGCTCCGGTGCGCTGCGCTCCGCTGCAGTAGCCCTGTTGCCACAGTGTGGAGGGGCCGGCCGGTACCTAGTGGGGAGGAGGAAGCTCTCACACCTCCTGCCCTCCGTCAAGTGATGTGGGGGAGAAAAAAAAGGAGCGAGGAAAAGACGAGGGAAGGTTTTTACGAGACTGTTGCAGGTCCAAGTCCAGCGCACAGCCTCCCACACTGAGATACTGAAGAAGCTCAGAGTTCCTAGAGGGAGTCCCAGGACTGGTGTAAGCGCAGGGAGAGCATGTGGCTGATGATTAACTCTTTATGTCAACAAGTCCTCAAACACATATAGGACCACACGTCTTAATGCAGCAGTGAGCTATGCGTCTTAATCAACTAAAACCAACACAGTTCTCACATTTCTTTGCATGGGACCATGGATGCAGAGGATAAACTCAATGGGCCCCTGTGCACAGACATGTTAAAGGCCCCCAATCCCTCTTAAAGGTCCAGTGTGTAGGATTTAGGGGGTTATATTGCAGAAATTAATAATATAATCAATATAATCTGAATCACAGAATCCTTGTGTTTTTGTTACTGTTGACTTAGTCTGAGTGGGCAGAAGTTAGCTGCATAGATCAGCCTCTCATTGGGCAGAATGAGCCACCCACTGAAGTCCCGCCCTACCACCTCTGGTTGTGTAGCAGTTTTCAACCGTTTTCAACACGTCCTTTACTAACTTTTGCGGTGTTTGATCTTGCGGGGATGTAGCCATATTTCTGCCATGGTTCGCATCCTGTAGGTGATATTTTTGTGGGCGTGTTACACCAAAACCTGTCCCCCCCCTAATATTTTTGCAAGCCACTGTTGCTGTGGCACCTCCCAGAATGATTGTGATTGGTTGAAAGAAATACAAGCAGCCGGGGCGTTTTTTCTCCAATCTTAAAGTGAGAGTCGGTCCAGCGAGTCCAGTGAGCGCGATTACCGTTGACTGAGCCCTTTATGGGGGAGTGGGTCCTTGTCTACAGATTCCGTCATGTGGCACCGCCATATTGCTAGAGTAGCCCAGAATAGACAAACCAAAAACTGGCTCCACATAGGGAGTTTTTGCATCAGCCACTGTGGTTGAAAATGGTTAGAAGCTGCTCTGCAATAAGCAGCATAGGAGGAACACTTTTCAATGTGAAACTGCTTTATTCATTGTTTTTACTGGTTTAAATCATCGCATCTGCTTGTTTTGGAGATGAAGCGACCTCTGTGGATGATTCAACTCCCAGTAAAAACCTCTTGAAGGTCTGTTCACTTAAAGGGATAGTGCACCCAAAAATGAAAATTCACCCATTATCTACTTACCCATATGCCGAGGGAGACTCAGGTGGCGGCACACAGAGAGGCAGTTAGAGCTACAGGCTACAATGAGGCTAAAAACAGAGTTCAGATGACATTTTCCAAACATCTTTATATGTCGGGGCTTCAGGACACTTGGACCACTACGGACGAGCAGTAAGGAGATATTTTGTGGTTTCAATTATGTGTTTTTGGACGTTTGAATCTGGGGCGCCATCAGCCTCCATTAGGTGGAGTTGTGCTGCTACCTCCTCTCCCCATGGATCTCCGCAAGGGATGTGAGGACTCTGAAACTTCACCTGGGCCTCCATTGGCATATGGGTGAGTAGATAATGGCTGAATTTTCATTTTTGGGTGCACTATCCCTTTAAGTGAACAGAGAACAAAGGTTAGCACACATTCGGGTGCTAGGCTAATGGCCCGTTTCTCAGATGCTGAAGAGCATCGGAGAAACTGTAACATGAAATTTCTCTAGTGTTTTCACCAATTTTAATCACCTGTTCTGTTTTTACCTGTGTAAATCACCAAGTCTGTTTGTTTTGGAGAGAAGTAGACAATTTGTCTCATGGTAAAAACTTCCCAAATGTCTGGATCAGAAATAAGGATGAGCGCACATTAAGTTATCAGATAAAAAAAGGTGTGCACACACAGCAGGTGCTGGGCTGGCATCCTGCCTGCGATATGCCAAACAGCATTGGAAAAACACTGATTTATTCAGTGTTTTACCAGTTTTAATCACCGGCTCTGTTTGTTTTAGAGAGCAAGACACCTCTACGGAGAATTTGGCTCCAAATAAAAACCTCCTGAACAATGAACACAGAAAGAATTCTATTCAGGAGAAGTTTCAGCCGGATGCAGTCTGCAATCCTCACTGCTAGATTCCACTAAATTTCACTAAATCTTACACACTGGACTTTTAAAAAGAAGCACAGACTAGAGGTCGTTTTGTCTTTCCTTAAGGCCAAAACACACTGGTGGCGTCATATGACGGTGGCGTCATTGACGCGAGTCAAGTGCCGCCCTCAATATACACAAAAAGCACAGCGCTGCAGGGCGTCAACCAGATTTCTATTGCACACTCCAGTCCGCTAGGTGGCGGTACTGGTTGCCAACCGCCAATTAGAACAAAAGACGAGGAAGAAGACAGGGCGCAAGAAGAAAACACACAACGCAGGACGACCACGACAACTAGACAACAACAGTACATTGCTTATTGTAGTTGTCTTTATGTTATTAATTAACTACGGGAGCTGGGAAGTACAAAATAGCGCTTTTTCAAGGGCGGCGACGCTGGAAAAATAGGACAATAGCGTAAAGTGCCGCGGCACGGCACGTCGCCGCGCGTCGAGCTGCCGCCGGTGTGGGTTTGTAAATAGAAAATAATGGGGGTGGCTGTTTTGACGCGCGTCACACGGCGCCGGTGAGTTTTGGGCTTCATGTGTCATTTAAAGTTTCTTCATTGTCATTTTTACATCTCTATGTGACAGTTCACAGGTTAAGCCCAGGGGCCCCCAGGCCCATTGGACCCCTGGGCTTGTGCAGGGTCAGCCTATTTAGCAATCCATCCTTGGATACACTTAACACAATTACGTTTTTATCAGGCTTTTCAAACTGCCATGATCTTGAGACGTAAAATGAAACTGTAAGCCAGCTGACGATCAGGTAATTTGCTGAAGTCCAGCTTCAAAGACCCACTCCAGACATGCTTTAAAAACATCTCCTTAAAATAATTATTTTAGTCTGATATGGTTTCTCTATCAAAATAAACTTACATAACCTAATTTAAATGACATCTCCCTCACTGAAAAATCCAAAATCTGTAAATGTATTTTCTTTAATGAATGGAAACATACTCCGAGAAGTCATTCCATTTAAACTGAACCACAGTTTTCCTTTAAATGAGTCAAAATTCACAAAATTCTCCTCCTAACTTCCATGTGTTAAACTCAGATTTAAGGTGAGCACAGAGAAACTCTTCCCTATTCAGCAGATGAATGCCAGAACAGCCTCCTTGTGTCAAACTGCACATACATCACTCTGCACAGTGAAGGTCACACATCCAAGCAAAGTGACAACAGGCAGTACACATTTTTGAGTGGAAGACTTTAAATTTATCACTGCATCGCTGCTTGAGGACACTACATGAGTTCCTGAGTGCCTTCTCTTTCAAAGCTTTATTTAGCTGGATGCTGTGTGTCTGTGGCTTAATGTTACACTTTAGTGTTTCATTTTAACAAAAGAGGGGCACTTGAGCAGCCCAGGTGCCTCTCTGGAGCTCATCATTAGTCATAATTTTTGTCAATGTTTAATCACTTTTCTTTCATATATGTGTGGAAAACCGTCTTTGCATGCAAAGAGATAGCCTGGAATGATTTGTGTACTATATATAATTTGATTTTATAAAAGGTAGCACAATTCTGCTGTGTCTAAATCCTTGCCCCTCAAAATTTGAATGATGCATAGTTTTGTGGTGCAAACCTAAAAAGATAATCACTCTCACAAATACATTTTGAAGGACAGTTTGTGACATTTAAAACCTGTTTTTGCATCCATCTGGAGAGGTTACAGTATGTCACATGGTCACCAGTACTCCGCAGCAAATAAAAGCCCCACACAGAGCAAACACACCTCTCAAGCATTCAGTTTTGGTGAATATAATTCTAGAGTTTTTGTTAGAAACACACAAACATTCATTTTAGAAATGAGCACAAAATCTGTATTGAAACTAGATTGAATACAACCTCATTTTAATAAGAGGTCAGTTGTGCAAGTACACTGTGTTTCCTCTCGGGAAGGTCATGTTCACTTTGAAAAGCAGATTTTTACCCCAAAAAAAATCTATGCTGTCCTCAGCTTTTCTATGGAAGTGGTCTTTTAAACATTTTTCCACCAGTTTGTCTGCCTTTAAAATTCAGAGGGGTAAGACGTGAGCGATCTGATTGAGAGACACAGAGTGATGGCTGGATTTAACCCAGAGACCTCACAGCTGCACCTCCAGCCAAATAAAGATACCTTTTGACAACCAAAAAAAGTGTCACCTCTAAACCTCTCACACTGAGTTCACACCACAAGGTCTGAATATTTAGTACTCAGATTAATGAATATTTTAGTCTGACACACGTCATCAGTATTTTTGATGTCAATTAGGATGTTTGGCAGACGTTATACTTTTTCGTCATTCAGTGAGTGAGCACTTGAATTTTAAAATAAAATTCCCATCAATCAGTCGATCAAATCTACATTTATCCTCCAGGGTTACACATAGGCCAGACAAAGATGCTGCAAACTTTAGGTGAACACCCACAAATGTCAGTCATCCACAAATACTTCCCGGCTGACCTTCTAACCAGGAAGGGACAGCAGTGGGGCTCCTGTGTTACCCTGTGAAGGTCATCACTGGAAACGGCAGTAGCTTAGCTTTGCTAGTGTCACCCACACAACCTTTGATCTTTGCTCTTAACTGCATATGGTTTCTTATTGAGGTCACGTGTTGCAGACAGGGTTAAGTAGTTCTATTTCAATCAGGAGAGACAGGAGAATGGAGTTAAAGCTATAGTGCGTAACTTCTACAGGTCCGTAAATGTCCTTTTCACCCAAGCCACTCCTAGAGGAGATGACACAATGCTGATTAAGCCGATCGGCTCCTCTAACATCTCGCAGTATTTTTCAATATCATTTTTAGTTTGCGTGTTGACCGGCGACATTCCTGCGCTGGCGCACAGGAAATGAAGGGAGGGGGAGGAAGAGCGGAGAGTGTCATAGCAAGAGGTAGAGCGCAGGTAGAAAGAGAAAGCAACATGGTGGAGAAGTGGCCAAGACACGGTTCAGAAGTGGATCCTACCACAAAGAAAAAGCCTGGACGTTTGGC